CTGGGAGGCTGAAATTTTCAGGAAATGTTCTCAACTCATCTACAACTTGAATTTATCAAATTCAGTCTCCGTTGTGCGTGGTGGCTACGCACGGCCCCGTGAAATTTTTTAGCTGCAGTTTTGGTAACCCGGGAACTGAGAAAGCTGGGAATATGGGATTTCAAGGAAATTTTCCCTGTCCTACTATAGCTTGGATAATTAAGTTCCCGAAATTCGAGGACCGGTATGTACAAGAGATTTCTAGCTAGTGGAATTTCGAGTAATCTTATTACAGCACGTAACACTGCAAAAACGCGTGATCGCACGGCCTCCCCCTCTCCCCACCCCGTGCGCGTCGCCAATGATTGTTTATTTACTACTTATCTGCTTTCTTCTCTTACTGTTTCTTCTCTGTCTCTCTGAATCGCCTTTTTGCTCTCTCTTCTACATTTACCACTTTGCATAATCGTTTCTTGCATAAGAACTGTGATACTGTACAGCATATCAGTCAGTACAAAAAATTCGGCAAATTGCCTCGCTCCTTCACATAGTCCTAGTAATTATCTACGGTTCGAAGGACGTTTTTGTGTACATGAACTGCTCACGGTTCAGTTAGTACTGACTTATCGCTGGTGATTCGATGACTAAAATGCGAGTAGCTGAATCGCCTTCAGCTTCTTTCCTGTTTTCGGTAGGAAGTGGCAAGGGTAATCGACATTCACGCGTGCAACTAATGCTGTTGTAAAATTAGGAGCCACCGATTATCATCAACGAATATTCCCTACGCACAGATTAGTCAGCTACACATATTGAGTATATGTCTTGGTAGGGCATAAGGCGTAAGTATGTTGGTGCTCAACAATAGCACATAATTTTTAATGCAACTTCTGTAGCTTGGCTTCTGTCAACTTTTGTGGCCAGAGGACAGAGCATTGTTTGTGTCTTTCAGGACACTAATTTCCTGCTGGTAGTATCCGCCGCGGTACGGTATTGCCGTGACTTAAAGTTGTCAGTCAAGACCTCTCGTTGTTTCGCTCCCTCTGGAAGATCGAAGCAAGTGCTAGAAGTCGGGCACTTTTGCTGACAGCAATCGTCTATCGAAAAGTTTCTTCTGGGTGGTTCGCTCTTCTGGGATTGGTGCAGAAGCCAGCTGGATACGGTTTTGTCGTTCTGTGTCGTTGCGCCATACCAGTTTTTTCATCAGTACCCATCCCGCACGAACTGGTATTGTCAGTGTGTGTTCAGACTGTTCACCAGATACTGGAATTAGATTTAGCTTATCAGCGCCCAGTTTTGGTGCAATGCATTTTTAAAGTAGTGATTGTTAGAGATAAGGGTGGGTGTTGTTCCCTTTGTCACTTTTTTGCTTGAGCACTTAGGCTTGATTTGTTTTGCCATTTCATTGGGATATCGAAAGTAAGCTGCCTGCGTAGACTTGACAGCTAAGGAGATTTGGTGCATATGCGATTTCATCCCGTACTTCAGTTTTAAGCAAAACCCGGTCAACTGTTCTTGATTGGTCTTATGTGGGCAGCGAAATCCAAGTTGTTTGCAGGTATATTATCATTCACACTGTATCCATGGCCCGCTTATTACCATTACTTAATAGTGGTTTTCCTGTCAGTCAGCTCATTAGTCTCGGCTGGTTTTTGTTTGCCTTTTAATCCATTTTACTGTTTTATTGCTTCATGCATATCTAATAACATCATATATCTTTAACGAAAAATGTTTAAGAATCGTTGAAATTCTGTGCAGATTTAAATGCGAATGAAGACTACTTAAGCTAAAACGATGTCAGACATTTGGTCGATGGTAAATTACGGCAGATGACTTCAAATTCAGGCACTAAATTCAGCAAAAGGCAGTTAAGAAAATGAGAATAGTAGCAAACCCTACGGTAAGATTCGAAAAATAGGAGATTTAGTTGAACCAAATCCTTTTCTGGGCCTTACAGCAATTGCTTGCTACCCTTCCTTTTATCGCACTGTGATGGCCACGGAGTTGATCGCTTCGCTAGATAATGCAAATCGGCAGGCAAATGCTGAGTTTACCGGGTTCGAGTTTCCCCCGGTTGCTGCACGGAACTGCATATCTGCGGAAGTGTTATTTTGCAGGACTGCTGTTGAGAGATATGCACCTGTCACTTTGGGGAGCGTTGCGTGACGCAGTCATCTCGAAGAAGTGCCTTTTACTAATGGGATTATTTTAACGTGCATTTCCCGTAGCTGCGTTTTGTACCGGTATGAAGGATTTTCGCTATGTTGATACCGATACCATTTGGCGCGTGATTCTTTTTGCTGTTGCTAAAGTTGATTTGTCCGCAATTTTAGATCGCCCGAGAATTGTTGCTAGCCAACTGCTGCTACTTACTGACATATCCGTGTTTGTCCGGTCTGTGTTTGCAATACAGCATCAAACAGTGCGGTCCAACCTGGTTGCTACGAGCTAATCACCCGGCCAGACCTCCTGGCTATCACTATTCGTCAATTTTCCCCACGGCGGTTTCCGATGTTTCCAGATACTGTAAAGTTTTGACACAAAAAACGTGAGTCTTCAAACTGACCAGATGTAAAAGTGATGCGGTTGCTGAAAGAGACGTTGGAAATTAAAACTAAGATTAAATCTGGTAGCGAACAGTTCGCGAAAAGTGGGCGGGGACGCAAAGTTCGGAATGCACCTACACGAATTTCCCTCGGCCAGATGTGTTAATGGTATCCTTTCCTTCAAAACTGACTTAGGTTTTCGTTAATTTCACACCGCAAGACAACTGATACGACTTGTTCCCTGTGAAGGCACTAAATGCTCAGTTAAT